CCCCAAAACCCCAAAACCCCAAAACCCCAATACTACTTATCTGAGTTGAAATTAAATTAATACTTATTTAGGCATCTTCTTCATCTTCTTCGTTGATTCTAGACAGAATGGAGGAGAGTTGGTCTTTGAGCATATTTTCTAGTTTAATTCTCATCTTTTCGTTAATACCTGTCTTTTCAGCAAACACAGCAGAGACTACGCTTGGGTCTTCTCCTTCATAAACAGTTAGGCGTTCTACCCGTTCCTTGCCTAGATTAATATCAACGTATAAGATTGGATATCCTTTGTCAAAATCGGGGGGAGATTCTTCAAGATGTACCTGCTCCTTCTCGAGGGAAGAGCAGTCACTCTCTTGACTTTGAGGACTCTTTTCTTGATCAGCTTCAAGCATATTGCTACTTGGAGTTTCCTCCGTGCATGAATACTCCTCTTCAATGATCGGGCTTGTATTGAACAGCTCACTTTTATCCAGCTGGCCATTACTCAGTATAGTGCCATGATTCCCTGATTTATCACAAGATTCAGTACTCTCAAGGTGAGACTTAGTCGGAGTGGAGGTTTGGCTTTCATAAGTGTTTGGATCAAGATACTCTTGGAAAGCATTTGGCTTCTTAGTGACAACAATAGAGTCATATTCCTCCACTTTTGATCCAGAGCTGCTCATCGGGGTGCTATTCTTTCTCTTATGGACTAAATTGTGCATCAGGTCCTTCTTCAGTTTGGTATTTTTCTCTGAGATGTTCATTTCCTTTCGCTTTTCATACTCTTTTCCTTTGTAGAGCAGTAACTCATAGTGAGGAATTTTGAGCTTAGAAAGTTTACTGTGCAGCGTCTTCACAATCTTTCGAGACTTATTTGTTAATCTTTGGCTTGTGAGAGTAATCAACAGGCTTTTTCCTTTGAGATATTTTCTCACTAATCTTCTTATTGAGGAAGTTAGACCTATTAGTAGCAAAAGTTATGAAATATTTCCGAATTTTGGCATAGTCTTTAGGGATGATTTTGAGATTTCATTTGTCGTCAAAGCTCATTAGATCTGTTATAGCTGCTTTTTGTGAGGGTTGAGTTTCTTTAGGCTTTTTAAGATTCCTTATTTCTTTCGAGTTCTTACGCATTATGTAATCAAGTGGTTTCATCCCTTTCCGGAAGTTCTTTTGTGTTGCCTTTTTATCAACTAGAATTCCCTCAATACAAGAAAGTAGCATCTTAAGATCTTTTGGAGCGATTCCATCATTCTCATCCCCTCTGAGGCACCTCCAGAAGTCGAGGAAGAGCATGCGCTCGTCAGCTTTATCATTATGGTCTTCATCAGTGAACATGAAGCCTAGACTTTTAAGGATCTCATTAGTGTGATAGTAGTTCAATTTACGAGTTTTTACTGCTCTATCAATTATGGCCTTTTGGAAGTCTGTCTCAAAAATATCCTTGAGGTACTTATTAGACGCAGGATTCCTGCTTTGAGAGCTATTCTTATTTTGAGATCTGTTCCTGCTCCTGGATCTACTTGAGGTACGTTCCATTCTTCTTCACGCATCGTTATAAAGCTTGGTGCTTACTTCTTTTGCAATCTGGTTGCTAAGGTTATGATTTACTGGAATGAAAGATGCAATATCGCTCAAATTAGCTTGGCTACTTTGCTGCATATTCTTTGTACCATCTTTTAGGTTATGAGCAGACCTGTTAATCCTAAGCAGGTCCTTCCCAGCATCTCTAGATTTTCTACTTCGAGAGTTACTTTTAGAGTTATTCCTTTCATATTCCTGGTATTTTTCTAATAGATTTCTACGACTCTCTTGGCGGGTATGGGAGTCATTGAAAAGTCTGTCATGCACAGAAGCAGTGCTTGAGCATTTATGAAGAACTGGTGATCTGAAATCCACAGAATGCTTCTGAGAATTATCTAAAATACTTGTTGTTCCAATACTCTGGGTCATATTTTTGAACAAGTTCTCCTTTGAAGTCGATCTTTTGCTACTCCTGTTAAGAATCTTCCGACTCCCTGAAGAAAGGAGAGAGAACCTTTCTTTCTGCCTCCTAAGGTCTTCTACTAATCTTTCTCTTTTATGAATTTTCTTCTGGATTTTAGTGTTCTTAATATCAACATATTTCATTTGTTGCTCGTAGAAGCCATTGAACCTTTTATTTGGTACTCTTACTCCGCTCCTTTGTCTTCTTTGATGCTCTCTGACTGAAATTCGACGATGTTGGAGGATGTTCTGTGAAAATACTCGGATTGTTTAACAGATAATTATCTCCTCGTTTGGATTTAACGGTCTCTACAGATTCGTTAAAATGGAATTTGTCTGTATAATTTCCCTTCTGATCACTGTCTGTGGCGATAATCTTGCAATTTCTAAGCCTTTCTTGGGAACACTTCCTGTCATGGTCGGTTGAATCCAACTGACTGCTTGAGTACTGTATCTTTAACCGACAAGTCTTCTCCTGATATGTCATAAAGCTATCATTTTTAGCCTTCGCCTTTGTTGCATTGAAGATGTCATCGGCAATGATGATATCTTTCTTGGGTGGAGAGAGCAACCTCTTGATCACCTCTGGGTTCTTCTTCCTACCTGACCTTCTCTCTGCTGCCTTCTTAATATTGGTCCGATTAGTCATCTCCTCATAGATCTTACTGACTTGGAGGTTATCCTTTATCAAAATGTCTTTGGAGATTTGAGTGTAGACACTTTCCCCAAGATTGATCTCCTCTTCCTTCTCTTCAGAGAAAAAGAGCGGGATTGTCTTGATCATCACTGCTTCTTTAGGCGATAAGAAGGATTTTGGAGGCTTACGAGTGCGTGACTTTTTATTGGCTTTCTGATTTTTGTTCGAAACATTTTTAGTTCTCCTCTGGCTCCTCTCTCTAGATTTTTCTCTTGTAGTGGAGTTATTAGTGTAAAGATAAGTAGCTTCATCTCCTGTGTCATCAGTGTAGAATTCGTCAGGGATTTCGCATTCGCGGTCATCTTCGATTTTATTTTTGGCCTGATGGTTTTCGTTTGAACAAACCTTCACTGAGCTTTGTGTACCTGTTGAGGTTCTTGTTCTTGGAACTTTTGTTTGAATTATGGGGCATTTTATTACTTATTGTTTTATTAAATTTAGCACTTCTTAAGAGACGTTTTGAATTTCTCAAACTTTTGTTTCGATTTTTACTGCCTTTTTCTTTGGATTTTGTCATCTCTGCTCTATAATTATTTTTTATAGAAGAAGATTTATTTGAAGTCATGCAAGATAGGTTTTTTAAGGAATTAATCAAATATTTGTTAAGAAAGAATAACCAAACCTTCTGTAATTAATTTCATCTATCTTCTTGTGGGTATGTAAATGGAATATTTTCATCAAAATCTTCGAGTGCAACAGAATCAGTATCACTAGGTCAGTGAATCTGGTGCTCATATTGGAACTGCTTGTCAAAGAGCTTCCCATTAGGTGCAGTCTCGTGATTCTTATAAGATTTCCGCATTTTAGTTAATAATATTCCAATTATATTTTAAAACTCTGGGGTTTTGGGGTTTTGGGGTTTTGGGGTTTTGGGG